CTATGCAATACTGTTTTATAGTTTATTCATAGTAACACAAGCAAATGATATTTTTTATGAGTAAATACTGTTAAAACTGTAATAAAAAAGACAAATTAAATTTTGCATTTAAAACCATTCATAAGTGCAAAAGTGCAATTACGGTGACTTTTGTGCAGCTTGCTATTATCTGGAAGCAGCTCTTGTCAAGTCTGTAGAGCAAAATTTAGCAACTTTGATGTGTTGTTACTTGTTAACTCTATAACACATTTGTTTTGTTTTACTAATATACAGATTATGTAGCCATAAATCTAAAAATAAAGTAGTGCAGTAGTCAGGTTCTGTCCTGTCGTGACAAAAAATCGGGAGACAGAAGAGGAAATAACTAAAAGAAAATCAAGTGCAGTAAACAACATCAATCTGAGCTATAATAAACTACATAACATAACCTATCTTGTCTTTGCTTCTGCAATTTGTCTGTGTGTAACACTGCCATCTAGTGTCAAACAAAGGACATGGGTGTAGAAATTGAAACTACATTCACCAGCGTTAGTTGCGTTCTTACGTCAATGTTTACGTAACGGGCGACTCCCCGGATGCGGCTGTGATTGACTACTAGGCAAGAAAAGCTCGCAAGCTAAGTGGCGGTAAGTTACAAAGTCCTTCTTCTTTTACCGGTAAAGCAAATTATTGTCCCGAATGTATATATTATTTTAAAGTAGAATTTTTAAAGTGACTGTCTGTGGGGTGTTGGTTCAGAAAACAACCATTTTAACTGTGTTTTAAAATTAAGCTTCAGCTTGTTTGCTAACTTGTTAGCCCGTTAACTGCCAAGTACGCTAGTTCCTTAGCTTGGGGGGAACGCCTAGTATTAKAAGTGAAAAAAACGCGAAACCAGTCAGCTACAGACATAAAAGTGCGTGTTGTTATGAATCCACACGTGGACCATTAATCAGAGAGATTATTTTAAAATAATGAAATTATTGAGGAACTAAATTGTAGCATAGTTTTTTGATGTAAAGATAATTAACGCTACGTCAATGAGCTAACGGTGGCTACTAGCTTGGACGCTAACTAGTTTAATAGCTGGACTTATCATAAAATGTCAGCCTTAACCTTCAGGAACTGTGTAAGCTTCATTGTAATTGCTACTCTCTTCACGGTGGGAATGAAATCTTTACTATGAAATGTGTGGTTTTAAATGGCGTTTGTCTTTATCAAATATTGATTTAGTTTCAGTATTGTCTTTGACTAACGTAATTATGTTTTAGCCTGTTACTTTCGTTTTGTGTCGTTTTGGTCAACTTAATGTTTATGTTTTAGTGCAAGATTAAAGTTTTGAAGTTTCCCTTTTAATTTCTGAAATCAACATTTAAACCTAAATGAAACTTCTGTCTTTATTGTACAATGATATCAGGATTTGAAAGTGAATGGGATGTAGATTAGTCATTCTCATAAAACCCTGACATTTTGTTGATCTGCCTTTGCTTCCCAATAAAATGAAATGTTATTGACAATTAACAGGATATCTGCTGCCAGAATAAGTTTTGTGTTGTTCATAAGAAACTGCATGATGTTTTTGATTAAATAAAATATTCTGAAAGAAGTGAGACTAATAACGATGAACAAATGTCCTATATTAAACAATTTAGCTTTCACAGATACTTCAAAAGCAAAATTTTTCGAAAGTTAAACAAAATATCCAACTGTCTCGTCAAGTTTGTTTTTACTGGTTATTATTTACCCCCAAAATAATCCTGTTTTTATTGGTTTAATTTGTTAAGTGTGCTTATATGTTGTTTTTTCTCTAAGGGAGAGTGCACAGATGCTAATTATACCGTCTTCCTGGGAATAGATCAAATGTTTGCTTCTTCTGAACGAGGAAATTAGTTTTGATTGTAAGTGGCTTTGCTTTTCAACACAACAGTAATTAGGCYGAACTGGATTTGTTGTTAGTCATCAATAAAAATGTGTTCTTCCACATTAGTATTAATATTTTTTTTTCCATTATAGAAAAACAGGTTGATGAAAAATGGTCAAGAATTACTCTTTACTTAAAGTACCACTGGTTAATTTTTATTTTCTCTCCTGCTTTTAGGTGCTGCAGCCCCAGTGGTCTTGAGCAGGATGCAGACCATTAAGTGTGTTGTGGTGGGCGATGGGGCAGTGGGCAAAACCTGCCTTCTCATCTCTTATACGACCAATGCCTTCCCAGAAGAGTACATTCCCACAGTGTTCGACAATTACAGCGCTCAAATGAGCGTGGATGGCCGCACCGTCAGCCTCAACCTGTGGGACACGGCGGGCCAGGAGGAGTATGACCGCCTGCGCACCCTCTCCTATCCTCAGACCAACGTGTTCATAATCTGCTTCTCGATCGGAAGTCCTTCCTCCCACGCCAACGTCAGGCACAAGTGGCACCCCGAGGTGTCGCACCACTGCCCCAACGTGCCCATTCTGCTGGTGGGCACCAAGAAAGACCTGAGAGGCGACGCAGAAACAGTGAAGAAGCTAAAAGAGTCGGGTACGGCCCCTACAACCAACCAGCAGGGCAACAGCCTGGCCAAGCAGATCGGAGCCGTCAAGTACATGGAGTGTTCTGCGCTGCAGCAGGACGGTGTAAGAGAAGTGTTCGCTGAAGCTGTGAGGGCCGTGTTGTATCCAGTCACAAAAAAGAACCACAAGAAGTGCGTGCTGTTGTAATGAACGGTTCCCAGGTTTGGACTATGAAGGGGGATGATGGAGGTCCACAGATGCACAGGAAAGCTGAGGGATAAAGGATACCATCTGGTTGCTTCCAACCTACTTCTGTCAGTTTTCAGCACCTGTGTTACTCCTGTTTTCCTGACTCATCATCTCCTGGAGCATCTAATTGTGTTGCCATCTTCACCAAAGTGACTGATTCTAAATGAAGGCAACCGACCGTCTCTCCTCTACTTTCCTTCCATTAACTTTTGATATTTACACATTTTCAAATTTACATCTGCTCGTGATTTATTGCTTCTATGCTTTGCCTTATAAAATGTTCATTATGGTCAGCGAAAGCCATAACTTCTAAACAAACCAACAAATTGACTTGAGAGAGGAGATCTGTGTGTGTTCAGGTGGAGAACTAATGACTACCTCACATTCTCACCTACGTTGCATCTCGTTGGGTCTCGAGCAAAGGTTGCCATCCAAGATCTTTTGATTTGCATATTAGATGTAAAAAAAACATTCAAGCAGAAGTTAAAGTTTTTAACGTTAAGCAGCTTGAGCGTGTTTCAACTCCTRGATACATACCAGTACCCTTTAGCCAAATGCAAAGATTAAAGGTTAAATTYTCGCCAGTTGTTTTTGTGCTAAGTTTGGTATGTTAGAGTTGYCTGACAGATTGCACTTCCAACCTATTTCACTGCTCGCTCGCTCTCTTCCACACATGGAGAAGCCAGTGGGTCTTTGAAGATAAACTGGGCCCATTAAGAGCCGCAAACCATTTCCGCTCTTTTTTTTGTAACAGAGGAGCAAATGTCCTAAGGCCTCTGCTAAAATTACCCATACTGGTACAGGATTCCTCGAGTCATCGTATTCAGGAAGTCTGATTGTAGCGGGGTGGCTCTCCTCTGTCTACATCTGAACATTTTTGAGCTCACACCGAGTGCTATTAAAAAAAAACCATGCCTAAAAACATCCTGGTAAAGGAGACTGTATTTTTTTTCTAAGTGAATTTACTTTGTAAATGATTTTTCTTAATCCTGAAATGTTTTTAACTTACATGTGCGGTTATGGCCAAAGTTAAATATATTTTTGTAATAGCTCATGTTTATCTGATCAGTAAACTGTATGTGTGCTGTTGTTAATTCTTACATATGATAAACTAGAACTCCGCAATGCTTCCCGTTGTCAATGACATGATTGTGCAAAGGTCAACAAAGGCCACTTTATAATCAACTCATTGTAGCATATATTACCAGAATGTTTTAACCGGTTTGCATAAAGCTGTATACTTCTTATCCTGTAATGTTTTGATGAGGTGAATAACAGTTTTGCCTTAAAGAAGCAGCGTCCCACCAGCCTTGTTAGCCCTAAGACACACCTCTACGGAAGGAGCCTTTTACTCGGTCAGGTGCCTTATTTAAACCAAAGACCACACCAGAACTACCAACCTAAAGGGTCTCATCATAGTGCTGCCAGTGCTATGAGAAATCTATAAGCACAGGTCCAACAAATTCAAATTGTTTTGTTTAAAAATTTCAAAAGCTTTCAGTAATAGTTCCTGCCAGTAAATACTCTGTAAAGTTTTTTTTTTTCTTGTTTTGTGAGACACAGGTGCTAAACTGACTTCTCACGCTGCGCAACTTTGCATTTGTGAAACAGAGCTGACGGGCCCACAGCTCTTAACAGATTGTGGTTTACATCCCTGCCTTGCATGGTGCAGTGAAAGCACAAGAAGCGCAGCTYGCTCGCACGGTTAACAATAGCTGCGTTGGCGTTGCTTTGCAGCATTTGAAGATTTTTTTAATCTATTTTTCAAAAAATATTTTTATATCAAATCTGTAGCTTTTTTTTTTTGTTGCTCACATTACTAGCAATAATACCAACCCTTGTTTTCATTTGCACTTCAGTGCAGGATATTTGTTTGCCTAAAATCTGGGGTAAATGAAGAGCTATGTGCTTTCAGATCTGAAAGATGTGCGAAATTTCCCAAGTATCTGCAGTAGTTGAATGTATGTGCACGAGAAGTAAAACTCATCTGTGGTGATTTATCTTTTGTTTTATTTTTATTTTTTGTCATGTCCCTATTTCACTCAGTTCTGTTTAAGTGGAACAAACACCTGTGGGCTCTCCGTGTCCTGGAGCAGTATGCTACCATATGCGTGGTACTACGCTTTTACACTGGGAACGTGATTTGTAGAATTCTGTTAATTGTTTTATAAATAACAAAAAAACATATTTGTATAAATGAACTAACAGTGAGATGATTTTAAATTATACCAAATAAAATAGTGCCTAAAACCAAAYGGGCTGCTTTGTTTTGTAACCATAAACTAGTTTGTATTTTATTTTTGCAGTTTTAGTGTTGCAGATTTTGCACTAGTCAAATACCAAAACAGCTCTTGCAGGAGATGGGTGCTAACTTTTGTAACATTTTTATGTATTACAGTTCATTTACAAACATTTTCCTCAAAGTACAGAATGTCTCCATTTTATTTTTATTTTTCAAATTTCTAAATTAACTTGCTTTAGGTTTGTCCTCTTTGTTTTTATACTGCTTTTCACTAACGTTTGCCACTTTTAGCTACTTCTAGCAGTTAGCTAGAAATAAAGTTCAACTGAGCCATACTGATTTGCAGCTACTCACTTTTGAGTTCAGGAAACCACAGTTTCTCATTTAATGTTCATGTTCTTTCATATTTGTGCTGTTTCAGTTCCCACATCTGAACACTAGATGGACACAGTGCTTCAGCTTCTTATAATCTGAATAAGTATTCAAAGCTTGTCATTCCNCTAGATGAACAGAGCCATTAGCATTTGCCTATACTGTCTATGCCATGGACCGTATCATTAGTGACAGCGCTTTTCTTGCTGCTTGTGCACTGAGCTGACTGACTCATATGCTGCACAGTGATGAYGACATATTAAAAGGTCAAAGTCATGCGGAGGTGAAGAAGAAACATTAGTCACACTTTTACTCAAAACTAAAGTTGAGCTCAGGAAACCACAGTTTCTCATTTAATGTTCAAATTCTTTCATATTTGTGCTGTTTCAGTTCCCACATCTGAACACTAGATGGACACAGTGCTTCAGTTTATAATCCTGAATAAGTATTCAAAGCTTGTCATTTCCCCCCCTCTCCTGTACATTTAGAGGTAATGGTCTGWAACCTATTTAAAAGCCAACATTCAACACTTTCAGACACCAACAACTTCAATCCATTTCAGGGCCCTTACACACTCAGCATGCTGCTGCTTACACTAAATAATTTCTGGGACCTTTTAAGGATGCTGGTTCTGACAAGTGACAGATGTGTTGAACTCATTACAGCACCACTGGAGCAACACTCAGAGCCCGTTTCCTCTGTGGTCTGAAAGCTGCACAATGAGGACAAAGCTGAACGTATGTTTACAGCTGGTAGGAGTTGTGTCATCGCCTGTGTTCATGGAGGAGGAATAGTTTACGTGAACTCTGCAGAGTCTGGTGAAAACCTCAGCTATGGTTTGACTGAGGTGCTGTCAGAGGGTGAGACAGGCAGGTTATGAACACTTAGGTTAGTTAAGGAATTTTTTTTAGGTGAGAAGACTGYAGAATGTGATCCCTTGTAGATAACTATATTTTCAGTCATAAAAGTGTCTTTAAACAAACGTGTTTGCAGTTTTCCAATATTTGCATTACTTTAATATGCCTTAAATAGTAATAATAAAAAGGTTTTGTATTTCATTTCTAAGAAAATGGAGATGTTTTCTTTGAAGCAGGAAAATACAAGTTGTCCAAAAATACCAAATTTATAAAGAAATACACAAAGTTTTTCAGGATACTCTGAGAAATAAAACAAAAAACATGTTGCAATGAAACAGCCTGTTATTTATTAGTAGACATTTAGGTTCTCATCATTTATTCACACT